CTGCCTCAAGCAGCACAGTTCCTGAGGAATGACACCAGAGGTGGACTTCTGGCCTCTACACACATGCACACACATGTACATATGTACCTGCACACACTCCCGTACCCATTCGTACACAAACATGCAGTCATCCACTTAGATTAGAGATTTGGGGTTGCTCTCAAAACCAAATGTTACATAGGGCAGGGAGGTCTCTAAACCAGGAGGAACCGTTTCTCACAGTGCCGCATCGCATCTTTCCCTTGAAAGGACCCAAACGTCTGTCCTGGCTCACACTGGGGATTTCAATGGCCACCAGCAAAAAGTACTCCCAGAGCAGAAGGATATAGAGGGCTGGAGGCCTGAAGAGGCTTCTAACTGAGTGACAGGAGGGGCCACCCCCAAAAACAGGCTCCTCAAAGGAGAGGTGGCTGCTTCCTATCAGAACCTCAGTCAGACATTAATGGACTTGAATCTGCAGTTAGTCTTGTGCTGTTAGCAGGCAAGAGGGAAGCCCAGGCCACAGCCTCCTCCTTTCCCTTACAAATTCCCACTGCAGGTCCCCCCCCCACCCCAGCAGTACGCACCCTCCCCTCCCCTTCCTCTGGTGGCCTTGCTCACGTACTTTAGTGCAGGCTGAGTGGTCCTTCGCCATAGCTACTGTAGAGCGGCAGCCACAGGATCGAGGCCCCTGGAGCAGAGGCCGTACACCTTGCTCAATGCATGGCTTGCCAGGTGTGCTGCAGCGTGATGGCCCTCTCCCGTGGGCACCTCTGTGCTGAGCCAGAGATCAGCCGAGGTAGACAGGAGCCAGGCTCCTGACCTACCACTCTGGACCAGCTGTAACCCAAACCCCAGGACAAGTCCCTAAGGAAGCCTTCAGAGGGAGACCCATCCATCCTGCCAGGCTGCAACCAAGGCCAGGACAAAGGCAGCTGTCCCCCATGTGGTTTGGCCTGTGTGTGAAGATGTAAGGAGGTGATGAGCCACCCGAAAGCCATCGCGGAACCCTCCACTCCACACCTCTGGCTCTTTGGTGACGGTGACACTCAACAATGGGTTGAGAGGAGGATGGAAGGTCAAGTGTAGCCCTGAGTCTGTCCCCAGAAAAGTCCAGCCTGACCAGTGTGGGCAAGGTTTCCTCAGGAGAAGGGTATCCTCTAGTGTCTCCAGGGCCACTAGATACAGGCCCACCCCTGCTGGCTCACCAACTCAGAGGAAGGAGATACTACAGTGCACATGCCCAGAGAGCGAGAGACAAGCACACCACCAACTTACTACAGCTGACCTGCCTTCCTTCCTTTCTACTTCCTGGGCCAAACAGGAGATGCCCGGGTGGTGAGGGCCTCTCAGCTCTACACACGGGCCTTCCACCCAGTGTCTGGAATACAGCAAGCACTCAATAAGTGCCCATCACCACAAAGGTGTGTGGCAGAGGCAGAGTGCGGAAATGGGGTGAGCCCCTCCTCTGTAGACAAACACCAATAAATATGGAAATGATGGGTCTGGAGGGTTCTTATTACTTTCCACTTCAACCCCCACAACCCAGGGGGTAAATCTCTATAAATTATGGTGAAATGCAAATAATAAATAGCATTTTCGGACATTCCCAAAGCACAGCTGTCTCTTTAGCATGTATAAATGTTTGTTGTAAGTGAATTTATATATATATTTATATATATATATAATCATCATTCCTAAAAGTAATACTCGGGGCTATACTGGGACGCTGGTCTAATCCCAAAGCTTCCAGGAAGAAGCACAGAGCAAGAGCCACTGAGATGAGACAGTCTCCAACCTGTTGAGCTGCTGCAGGCTGTGCAGTACACACTGGGTTTCCAGCTTTGTGAGCCATCATCCCCGATGGGGTGGGCTTTGGGTGATACAGCTGTCTTTGAGTATTTCTGCTCCGTAAGAAACCCTCACATCTACTAGTGTAAGTAATTCCAATAAACTCATTGGTTCACCAAGTTTGGTTTTGGTGGTATCCTTACATTGGTCTGCACATACATGCAAATGGACACAGATACATGCAAAAATACACTCAACACACACCCTTACTTAGACATACTCACATACACACAGACATACAGATAGACAACACACAGAACTCTCATAGACTCTCTTGCCTCTGGGTATGACACATTTTCTAAAGTGAATTGTGATACCTATAAGCTGTTGGCTTGTACCAGGATCTAAAAAGTACCCAGTGCTAAAAAAACAAAAACAAAACAAAACAAAACAAAAAACCCTTTACCTTTTATGGCTTGGCCCTTAAGAACACTGGCTACTCTTTCAGAGAACCTGGGTTCAATTCCGAACACCCACTCGACAGCTAACCAACCATCTGTAACTCCAGTTACAGGAGATCTGGCAATCTTGTCTGGCCTCTGTAAGCACTGAATACAGGTGGTACAGGTACACTTACATACATGCAGGCAAAGCATTCATGAACAAAAATTTAAAATAAAATTTAAAAGGTTTTACCTCAATGGATGGGAGAATAGAAGTCATATGATACGCTGGTAAAACTCTACCTGGATTCATGAATCTCTGATTTAAGTAGTTATTATCTCAACTGAGCATAATTACAAGGCTCACTGTGAACATTCTATTCAGGTTTGCAGTGTGGAAGGGGCAAATCAGGCTACTCAGCATTTCCCTGCTAAACTTTTAAAACTTTCTGGCTAACACATAATAATTGTACGTAATTACGAAGCTGTGAAAATCGATAATCTGTACACTGCACTTCTCACTGTGAGGTGACTTGCGTTTCTGTCTCATCATTTGTTTGTTTTTGATCTTCAGCTGACCTCTTGCAGCTGCTCAAAAGCAGTGTGCTAGGTCACTGAGGGCTGTGGTCACCCTGGACTGTGGGGCTCCAGGACTTGATCCTCCTGTATAACTGGCTGCCTGTTATCCCCCTCCAGCCTCTTCCTCAAACTTTTCAGCCTCTGATCATCACTGTTGTACACTGAGTCAACAATCTCAGCTTCCACATAGGAGAGGGAATCTTACTGTAACTGGCTTATTTCTCACCACACAGAAAACTCCACGGTCCCATTCATTTTGCTAGAAATGACTGGATTTGGCTCCTCTTCGTGGCTGAGTAATATTTCATTTGTGTGTATACTGTTTTCCTTATACGTTCACCTACTGATAGACACGTGTCAATTCTACACCGTCGCTCTGAGGTGCAGTGCTTCAATAAACGTGGGGTTCGAGTACTTTGTGTGCTGTTTTCATTTCCTGTGGCTAATGCTCATGAAAGACAGAGCAGGGTCGTCTGTTAGACCTGTTTTTGGTTTACAATTTTTGTTAACACATGCTGTCCACATTAACAGAGTTCACTGAGACAGTTCTGTAGACAGATGCAGGATGCACTGATCACGTCAGCTTCCCATCCCTCCTCCACGCCCTTCCAACCTCTGGGAACCACCATTCTGCTTTTCTGCAGACATTTTCGGTTTTTGTATGAGAGTGAATACGGAGGTCATTTAATGATACATCCTCCGGCTCCACCATTCCGCTGCCGACAAAAGGATTTCATTCTTTACATCTGAAGTGTTCCATTGTTGTATTTCCCTCCTCCAGCCACGTGCGGATTGTCCCTCCGCGGACTCCGTAGCTTAGCTCTGAGGAGCAGAGCTGCAGAGCACAGGTACCTGGCCTCTTAGGTCTGTGGGGTTCATTTCCTTCAGATCGATAAGCGTCCTGAAGTGAGACACTGGGCCTCATGTTGGATCTGGTTTTGGACTTGTGAAACTTCATTCTGTCTCCTTAATGGTTGTGTGAATTCACATTCGTACCAACAATGTGTGCGAATTCTTTTCCCTCCATGCCTTATAAACTATTATTATTATTATTATTATTATTATTATTATGTATTTAGTCTTCCATGATAGCCTTCTAATCAGAGTGAGATGACAGTTCATTGCAGTTGTGACCTGTGCTTCTCTGACAGCTACTGAAGTTAATCACTGAATTTCTTCTTTTGAGAAGCAGCTGTTCCTCTTCTCATTTGGAGATTCTTGGTTTTGAGCTTTTTGAGCTTGAGGTCCATTTTGAATACTAACCTGTCAGATGGGCTCTTTCCTGGAGCCATCCCCACCCCCAGCTCTGCCCTGCAGAAAGAAGTCTCTTGGTTTGTAGAGCCTGGTTGCTGGATTCCTCTGTCACCTGTGCTCATGGGAGGCTGCTCCTGCCATCGTCCCCAGCGACTTGAAGTGTTTCCCCGTGTTTTCTTCTAGTAATGTCATGGGTTCTGGTTTCACAGTTAAATCTTGGTAGGTTACTCAGGCTCTAGTGGATGGACCCTCACTGAAAGACATTTGGGGACACAACTTAGACTCCATAGGCCTTATATATAGATGATAGAGTACATTAAATTGGGCAGGGGGTGGTGGTGGGGAGGGGATCTAACTACCATCAGATTATAGTGAATGAAAATCTAAAAAATTAAACTCAAAAAAGAAGTTTTTAAAAAGTCATTAAGAAAGCTAAGAAAGTGTGTTCCAGTGACTGGCCCCACACTCACGGACACTGGCAGCACTAACCAGACTCAGCACTAACCAGACTCAGTGATTTAGAAACCTCTACATGTGATTCTGAGAGAGAAGTGGTGGAGCAGGGGCAGAGCTGAGGGAAGGCAGTGAGGGCTTTTGATGCCAATACCATGTCTACTTGTATGAAATTCTCAAGCAAAATGTTAAAAAATTACTTTTAGAGTTTTAGAAAATGAATTCCAGGCATCAAGCCAAGAAAGTTAGAAAGCTGTGAGGGTTCCTGCAAGGCTGGGCAAAGGGGCAGTCCCACCATGAGCCACAATGGCCACTGAAGTTGGGGACCAGATGCCCCTTCGGTCCCTGACATGAAGTCATTACATCTTTAAACTCTTTCTTACAAAAATCACCAATTGATAGCATGCGTTTTCATACGTGATTTCTCACCGATTTTTAAAGAGAACACTTGACAAAGACCTCATGGCAGATCGTACATAAATATATTACTTTTACCCAAGATGAGCCTGAAGGATCAGAGGCTCTGCGCTGAAGTCTTCAGGGATGGTGTGCTTCCTGGAGGGTGGGATACTGGAACACGCTGAAAAGCCATTTTGTTTTTCTAAATAATGCCAGTTATGGGATCACACCAAGAGAACAGAAACAATGGTCCAAAGTTATCTGCAAACACGAATAATCAATTTAGAGAGGTGATTTTATAATAGTTCATGAAAACCAAGTGACCAGAAAGAAATGGACAAGAACCCATCAAACGTCGCCTCTCTGCATGAGCTCCCAGTACCGCTGAAGCCGCATGCAAATGCTCGGTGTGACTTGGTGTAGAAAACTCTTCATCTTCATTAGCTCAAGATGAACTGACCATCACCTCATCCTTCAGCAGAAAGTGAATAAATACGTTGTGTGTGTAAAAGTGTGTCAAAGAAATTAGTCACAGCTGCCAAGCTCCACATCGGTCTCTAGTGTTCTTCCTTCCACAGTCGGGGAATTGCCAAATTTCCCTTCTCAAAGCCACCACCCAACCGACTCCGATCTGGGGACCTCCATGTAGAGCTCAGCCTCGGCACTGACCTTCTAGGCTAATGGGCGACTCACAGTCTTCTCTCACCAGTGGTGACGGGGAGGAAGGAAGGAACTTGTCCAGGCTGGATCACACATCTGGACCAGCGCCCTAGAAAACTGGCTCCATTTCCAGCACATCGTGGGGACGTGGCAAATCTGAGCCATAGGAACTTGAAAAGAAGACCGCATTCCCGACTTGGAGTGTGACCCTCCTGAGTTGCGGAGTGCTTGCTCTGTGAGGGACTGCCTGAAGGTACAACTGGGCTAACCCCAGGCCACATTGAGGGCCTGTGTTCTCCTGTCTTCTTACATGACTTTCCTTTGGTTTGTGAACCACACTGTGAAAATTGGCTCTGGCTTCCCTGGGTGCAGAATAATCTCCGATCAAACTTAATTAAAGTAAGACGAGTCATATTTATCTTGTGTTTCTCTCGGGCACTGTTTTTCTTCTAATTGGGACTTGAGGGCATCCCGTAGCCAGGGCGCCCTGGGCTACGAAGCAGTGGCCTCTGCTGGCAACTGACAGGCAGCCAGGCTCCCAGGGGAGGCACCAGCCCCACTGATTCCCCCAGAGGGCTCTGCTCTTTACATCCATCCCAGCCACAGAGGCCTTGTTCAGCATGAGGTTCTCCGGCATTCCTGAACAGTGCCCATGCCAGAGATGGAGACAATGTACCTGTGCACACTTCTGCATAGTCAGCACCTCACATCTGGCCACTTGGCTTCACTGTAGGAAGCTCTGTCTGTTTGTCCTTCCTCCCACAAGCCACTTCCAGAGAGGAGGGATGGGGTAGTCTCTGCAGACAGGAGTCCTCAGGTCCCAGGTAGAATTGCCCCCTGATCACAATGCATTTTTCAGATGTTAAATTTTTATTTCATTTTATTTTTTAATATTCTCTTTATTACTTTTATTTTATGTGTATGAGTGTATTGCCTGCTAGTACGTAAGTACACCCATGTCATATAGTGCCCGTGGAGGTCAGAAGAGAGGATCAGAACCCCTGGAACTGGAATTACGGATGGTAGTTAGTACTGGTAACCAAACCAGGTCCTCTGCAAGAGCAGCCAGCGCTGAGCCATTTCTCCAGCCTCGATGCTAAGATTTCAAATAAACTTTTACCTGGGTCTGGCGGCTGTAATCCCAGCCTCTTGGGAGGACGAGGCAAGGAGGCTGTGAGTTCAATGTCAGCCTGGACAATTAGTGAGACTTTGTCACAAAACAAGAAACAATAAATCAAAGAGGTAGGGATGTATCTCAGTGGTAGAGCCCTTGCCTAGCCTGTGCAAAACCCTAGGCACAATACCACTACTACAAAAATCAATCAATCAATATCAATCATCGACCAATCAATAATCAATTAATCGAATGATCAATCAGCAAGGAAAGAAAAGAAAATCTTGAGATGATAAACACATTGTCCAACCAGACAAAAACGGGGGGTTTCCCAAGCTGGTCAGGTCTCCCTATGTTGTGGCCGTGATGTCATATAAGAAGCACACAGGATAAATGAGCTCCCAGCATGCAGTGCTTAGAGCCCGGCTTCTTCCTTCTGCAGCTGGCAGGTGTCCCTCCTTGCTGAATGAGCCACTGGGTCAGCCCAGGCAGCACTTCAGTGACCCACAGACTCTGAGTGACCAGCAGCCTTCACTGACCAGCTTGTGTGGGTACTTGGCCCTTCCCTAAAGGCATGCTGGTCGGCATGGCCCAGTACGCCAATCTGGACATTCTGGATGGTAGACCCCACTGTCCACGTGGGCTTTTGTGTTCATAGCTGTCTTCAGTGTCTGACACTTCACCAACGCCATGCAATTTTCACATTTCCCTAAATTGCAAGGTTGGGCTTTCTACTTCTGCCCCATAGACATCACAGGACTGGCCTGCGTGCCGTGAAAGGCAGTGTTCTGAGGGTTTGGTGCATAGATTTCCTTGGCAAGGGGCTTGGACTCCTTTTCAGGTTCTCGGGCATTTGGAAGTTGGGGCAGCGCTCTCTCTCTCTCTCTCTCTCTCTCTCTCTCTCTCTCTCCCTCTCCATTGTTCACTTGCAGCATTTTCCATGTCACAGGGACGAATAGTCTTAATAAATCCGGTGACTGAAGTAAAATAAAGTGGCAGGATGCTGACACTGGAGCAGGCTGAGTGAGTGACAGAGGACATTCTCTATATTCCCTCTGTGTCATTAGTGCCTGTCTCCCTGCCTGACTGCTGAGAGGCCGTCTCCTTGCAAGTCCACCTGGAGCCCTAAGCACACTGGGAAGCAGGACATCCCCAAAGCCTGTAGTGAGGAGTGCAAGTGGGGCTCGGCCAGCTCCCTACAGTCACCCACAGCCCGGATGCCCCAGTACCAGAAACTTCCCAGCTCAGTGGGTGCCCATGGGTGCCTCCTTTCTCCCCAGTTCAGGGCTATACCCTTCATTTAGTCATTGGAGACTCAGACCTAACAACCAAGAGTTAATGTGACTTGGCTAAAAGGTGCAGGAATGACTTTCCAAGCGGAGGCACTCGAGGAGGTTCTGAGGAACAACAAACTTGGACCGCAGCTTGTTAAGCTTAGCCAGGAGTAAGGGTATCCACTGCACAGATGGCCGTGAAACCTCTGATTTTGTATTTACCGGGTTTTCACACTAGAATTAAATCCCTGCAAACAAAATAGAATTAAATTCCTGAAAACAAAGAAAAAGGACCCAGCCTGTGAGAGGTGTTTAGAAAGTGCTCCCGTCTGACCCTGGAGTTTTGTAGCTCACCTGTGTGGTTTGAGTTGAAAACTCCTAAATCCGAAGTATGGGTCCTACAGCAAAGCCACTGTCCGCACTAAGCGCACAGGCGGGGTGGGCTGCAGTGCCTGGCATTTCCGCACACCTTCGTCTGAAGGCTCGATTGGACTTCCTTCCTCATGCTGTTACACATCTGATTTTGTAGGTTGGGTTTTTGCAGACTTTTAAAGAAGGTCCTTTATTCGGTGATGTCACTCACAGCATGAGACCTCACGACACACAGGGACTTTTTCACCCGGTTACGGCTGATGCTCTTTTGAGCACTTACCCGTGGTGCAGGTGACGTGGTTTGCGTGTTCAGAATGGAACCCGGCGCTAGGACACTCGCACTTCGCAGAAGCCTAAGGCAGCAGGACTCTGGTGGATTCCCTTCGGAGAGGAGGCAGCTGAGACACAGAGAGCCAATGCTTCACAGAGGTGAGGCTGTTAACAGGGACCGGGCTGGGTAGGGCTCTGAGTCCGGAGGCCTCACACGCCAGGTCCTGAGTTGTCCATTGGTGGGTTCAGCGGTGCTGGGCAAACCTGCAGCTCAGGGATTTTTGGTCCAGCTCAGAGTGCCTTTCTTGATGCCCTGACTGCTGGGGAGAAAGCCCTGCCCACACCTGCGCCACCTTACTGCCCCCAGAACTTCACACAGGGACACTCACTGGCTCTCCTCCCATCCCTCCCTCCGCCTTCCTCCTCCGCTCCCCGACCCCGTCCCCTCCTCCTGGGCTTGTTCTTCTGTGGAGGGAGCAGATTACCTCAAAGCCTGCTGGCTGACAGGTTGCACAGGTGAAGAGCTTAGAAGCAGCCACTGCATCCTGGTAACAAATACAAGCCTGAAACATCAGAAAGACCAACAACTCTTCTTCAATGGCTCGGAGAACTGTCCCCAAACCAGAGCAACACAAGAAACTGAAGAGGACTCTGCACCAAGGCCTAGGCTCGGCCCTGTCCTGCAACCTGTGGTGGAGTGGGAGGACTGAAAGGGGCTGAGAGCTGGAGGAAGGCCCAGCAGACAAAGCTCCGAGAGCAAGAAGTCGGGCCGTGTTCATGGAAGAGAGGCTCCTTTGAGGTCGTCCCCAGATGCTCCATCAGGCTCTCACGGTGAATAGTGGAGCAAAATTCCTTGTGCTTCCATGAAGGGGCAGGGCAAAGATCGATTCTGAAAGACACCACAGCATTCTATTTCCTTAGAAGATGTGAGGAGCCCTGCCTATGAAGTTTGATCAGAGCCTCTGACCTGGGAGATAAAATGCCCAAGTCTAGCTCGGCTGGAGCCTGCTGTGGCTATAGCCTGCAAAGCCAGCTCATTCCACTTAGGCCAAGCTGGGGAGGGGGTGATGAGACTTACCTGAGAACTCACAGGCGAGAACACAGGCTCACTGAAGGATGGAGACCCGCTCTAGGGATTCTAGGACACACCCTCTCCAAGCTCACTACTGCATTCCTAGAAGGCTGTTCTAGCACCTTCTTCTACCTGAAGTCTTGTGTCCAGCTGTCATGAGAAAATAGTGAGGCAACCAAAGCAGATTAAAAAAACCTTCATGGTCCAAAGCAAGAGTCAGAGTGAGCCACACTCAGATACCTGGGGTATGAGGCATGGTAGAGAAACAACTGCACTCAGCGTGCCTAAATCTACACTCGATAAGACAGGCAGCGTGGAAGAACAGGAAGCAGTTTAAGCAGGGAGATGGAGTGCATAAGAAATAATAAAAAACTGCTAGGTATAGAAAATACCATGTCATAAATAAAGGATTCCCTTGATGGTATTATCACCAGACTGGTGGTTGTTGATTTAATCATCTCTGATCATAGAGACATGCCAATATAATCTACCCCTGAGCAGCAAAGAGAGAGAAAGAAGGAAAGATGGGAATATCTGGGGGACATCCACAAAACACGGGGAGATACCCCAAAAAGACATGATGAGGATTCCAGAAAGGGGAGGAAGGAGGGAGGGAGGGAACTAGACAGGAAGGTAGAGAGAAGGAGAAGGAGAAGGAGGACAGGGAGGAGGGAGGAAGGAAACAAGCAGAAAGCAATGGAGGAAGCGGGGGACAGAAGAGAGAGAGGAAA